ATGCCAAAAACTGTTTCTTTTCAATCTCACTCACGTGGACGACGGGAGACGAGGGTTCGGAATTTACAAATCCAGAAGACTATCGTTTCTTAAGATAAAGAACCCTCTGAAAAATGAATGAATGCTACTGGTGACTTAAAGGACACAAAAAGAAGTGTTATTCATAGATATTTATAAAAAAAAAAAAAATAAAATAAGAGTCCGTAGTCTGACAAGTACCTACTAGCTGTATTTCAATCTGAGATTTTCACAGTATCAAGCAAATATTCTTGGACCGACGCAATTCTTAAGGTCGTAACAAATCACTGAATATAGTTATTTTAGAATTACCTATTGCAATTTATACAAAATATTACACTCGAAACTTATCACTGGCTGAAAAATATATTCTTTAACCCTTTAAGCCCTGACCACCGCTTTACCGGTGGTAGAGAAAACTGACGTAATGCCCAGTCACCGGTTGAACAGTGGTAGAAAAAAACAGTTGTAACTATTTTTATGTCTACCGTGAAATATTACATACCAATTATTTGCGAATTCTGACTCAGGAACTAAGGCAGAAGAGTTAAAATTGTTCAGAAACGCAGGGATCAAAGGGTTAATTTTTTTTAATTAGGAATTCAAAACCGAAAATGAGCTACGATACTGCACCCTTGTAATCCTTCAGCTCTCCTGTCCGATCAAAAACGCCAACTCTTTATAAATATCTACGCTCAATATATCTCCTTTTAGTGACATGATGTCACCGGTAGATATGATTGTTTTCAGAGGTTTCTTTACATTTAACATTTGAGCTGGCAAATCTTAAATTCTATCTAGACCGAGAGATTTAAGCGCCTTATTCTGGAAAAAAAATATTTAGAACTTTAGACTTTCACGCAAACACATTTTTAGCACACTTTCTTCGGTTCGAAAATTTAGTATTTGTTTTAAACAGAATTTATCAGTTTTAAGGTATTACATTAAGATTAATAGTGATTTAGTCTTTGGAGCCGTGATACGATTCTGCGAAGTATAAATGAATTTATGTTTTGGTATCTGATTTTGTAAATTATCTCTAAGCGTTTTGTTCAGTAATTTATAGTCGCCATTGATTCGTTTTAAGGCGTTGTTGTAAACTGATGAAACATGTTTTATTCTAAATTACATTTATAGGTTTGTGATATCGAGGCTCCTTGTTTTTTGGGGGTGTTGCAGTGTACACATTTTAAAATGATATTTTATGTACTCGTTTATTTTTTGTTTCCATGGACCTTCTGGTAGTCAGGTCTATATTCTACCTTACTTTCATATGCGTTCTTACGGCAGGTTTTTACATGATATTGTTTTATAGGTAGTTACCGTTATAGAGGGCGTAAATTGATAAGAAAAATAGATTAGAGTTAATTTACAAATACAGACATGGAAATAATTTCCTTTTGTCCCCTACAACAACATCACGACTCCAACGACTGTACAACTAGTAACACATAACCGAAATTAATTAAAATTTTCGAATAAAAAAATAACAAATAAATAAATATAAATTTAAACAAATAAAAAAAATAATTAAATAAGGAAATATATCGAATAAACAAAAAAAATATCAAGGCCTATAACAAATCTGTCAAAAGTTCTAAACAAAAAAATGACAAATGTGGTTTTATCTTCCACTCTTCCCATATAGAACCTACATAAAGAGGAATAACACATATCTTGATGATCATGCAGTACATGGAATTGGAAATGACGATACAGTGTTGATTCTATACGTTCATCTCATCGCTCTCACATTCTCCCTCTCCCTCTCTCTCTCTCTCTCTCTCTATATATATATATATATATATATATATATATATAATTTTTAAGTAATTAATTTATTTCTTTTTACTTACAATAAATATTATTTTTAGTGGGCATATTGTTTGAGTAGATATTCTTATTTTCCAAACAGGGAAATTGTTAATCACTGTCTTTAAAAATCATATAATCCTCGAAAATTTTATTGAAGAAGATGTCCTTCTCTGTAGGGATTGAACATGCATTGCCTTTTTTACATTAGGTGAATCACGTTTTAGCCATGAGTGAATTTACCGTTGCAACTTAATAAATGCATCCGTAGCTGAAACGGTAAAAGCACACCTGACTCTATGGAGATTTCTTTAAGGTAAGTAATACAATCTGTGTTCAATTTCTGCAGAGAGATAACTTTTCGTTAATAAGTTCTTCGAAGCTTCTCAATCACTAGGTATCAATTTCGTAATTTAAAAAATGACGCGATGTTCTACTCAAAGAAATCTACTCAGAGAAAATAACGTTTAGAGTAATATATATGGTGGACTGAGCTGTTGATTTTTGCGATTGAGGATTGGACATTTCAATTTTAAAATACAAAGTTGATTTGCGGATAATATGGAAGACGGGTATCAAACCAAATCAAACTGATGACAGAAAAAATGGTTCACTGTGTGGCACGAAGTTTCTACACAAGTCCTCCTCATGTTAAGATTCAGTGTTTTCTTTCTTCAATACTGGAATGCAAGGCAAGAGATCCCATTCTGCTCTACTATTGAAAAACACAAGTATATGAAGATAGGTTTTGATGTAATGAATATGCATACAACTCACAGTAATATGATTGGCTGGTGTCAGCCATAAATACAGACTGGTGTGGAGGTACATGGACTACGCCTATTGTCTTCGCCTATTGCCTACGACTATAGCCTACCACTACGACGAGGACCAGTCCATTACGGTTACCTGCTAGATTGTCCTACTCGGTTACAGTAGTCAACATCTACTTTGCTACCTCGAACAAATATATCCCTTTCTGGGACATATCAGGTTCATATATTCCTTTCTTTCTATCTCAGCGTTTTTTATCTATCTATCTATCTATCTATCTATCTATCTATCTATCTATCTATCTCAGTCTATTCATATCTATCTATCTATCTATCTATCTATCTATCTATCTATCTATCTCAGTTTATTCATAGTGCTCTCTCCCAGTCTATTCATATCTATCTATCTATCTATCTATCTATCTATCTATCTATCTATCTCAGTCTCTATCTATTTGTATACTTATCTATCAAATCCATATATAGGTTACTAAGATTCTGTAGGGAACTGGCAGCGTACACAGTGGATTTAAGGTAAAAGTATTGTTCTTCATAGACAATACAAATCGCATACAGCAGAGATAACACAGAAAGACAAAAATGAAACTCGGTCTGTCTTACCCGACTCGCCATCTTTACCTCGTCATGCACCAACTGATTATTAACTTTTTCCTTCGCAGCAATAAGGAAATCTTTTTTTTTTTTAAATAAATCAGATTTAAATATATAAATCATAGTTCGTCAAAAGGTTGATTAGATTTCTTAATGAATGCCGAAGAACTACCTAATAATTATATTAAGTCATTAGGTCAATATACAAAATGTGCAGAAATTCTCTCCAAGTTTAAGTCAGAAAAAATACAAAGATTAATATAAGTTTATAGGGTTCATGGCAAAACATAGGAAAACAAATAAAGTTCTATTTAAAGACATCGCAACACCTTCATATGCGATGTTTTGGTCATACGCAACACATCTAGACGATACTGCAGTTCCAGCTACTCACGTTGAAGTATCTCCTGATCATTCGTAGATATGGCTTCGTGTATTTTATTCTTGAGATCAGTGACGTCTTGAACTTTTGTATGATAGTATGATTTCATATGGCAGTCTTTAATACTGACATTCCACAATACAGCTAATTCATCTGAAAAAAAACTTATATTTCTAATTAATTGTTTTAAGAGAAAGATTTGATGAATTTCAATCGAAAATTGCACTGACGACTTAGTCATTGAAAACCGCATGTTCCTTTAAAAATAAACGACTTATATTACTATTACAATTATCAGTTTCTCATTATCATAAGGCAAAATCAAAGAGAGCGGGTACATTTGGCGACGTGGATGTCCAGAAAATTGGACCGCCTCTTCCAATCCCCCGGTTTGGTAACGTTTCTTTGAGAAACTCACGGACAGACAATGACGTGGTTCACCATCCCACTAGAAAGTAAATGTTGGTTGCAATTGGTATAACTGCAGGACAAAGAATTCTTGTAAAAGATGAAAATTGCTCGAATAGAAGAAATGTGGAAGAACTATAGAAAATTTATGGACAGCTTTTTAAACATCTACTGAAAAGACAAACAGAAGTGAATTAAAAATGAAGAAACTATATATAAATAAAAATTTTTCATAATATTTCTTTAACAATCAAAGAAGTGTATTGACGGATCTTGACTAATTGAAGCAATAAATTGTAGAATTGTACTGATAATTCATGTAGACCCTGTATAACTGAATAGAATTTAATTATGTTTCATCTTTTTGGACAATAATCTCGATAAATAAAAGCAGAAATATTTATGACGCAACTTAAGTCTGGATGATTAGAACCAGGCAGCTGATCTCGCCTCTGCTCTAGCTTTGGTTTGGTTTATTTTACGGCATAGCAACCTCAATGGTTTATTTTACGGCATAGCAACCTCAATGGTTTATTTAATGCCGACAAGAACCCTACTGTTTGCAACATTCCCCTTCAAAAATGTATTGCTGGTAACATTTCCTTTTCCAGAAATGTATTGCTGGTAATATTATCTTCTTTAAAAATGTATTGCTGGTAATATTTTTTCTTCCAAAATGTATTGCTGGTAATATTTTTTCTTCCAAAATGTATTGCTGGTAATATTAGCTTCTTTAAAAATGTATTGCAAGTAATATTTTTTTCTTCCAAAATGTATTGCTGGTAATATTATTTTCTTCCAAAATATATTGCTGGTAATATATTTTTCTTCCAAAATGTATTGCTGGTAATATCTTCTTTAAAAATGTATTGCTGGTAATATTTTTTCTTCCAAAATGTATTGCTGATAATATTAGCTTCTTTAAAAATGTATTGCTGGTAATATTTTTTTCTTCCAAAATGTATTGCTGGTAATATTTTTTTCTTCCAAAATGTATTGCTGGTAATATTATGTTCTTCAAAAATATATTGCTGGTGATATTTTTTCTTCCAAAATGTATTGCTGGTATATTATCTTTTTAAAAAATATAATGCTGGTAATATTTTTTTCTTTAAAAATGTATTGCAAGAATTACTTTTTCCCAAAAAGTCTTGTCGGGAACAATGTATTGCTGGTAAACTTTTTTTTGTTCAAAAATTCATTTCTGGTAATAATTTTTACAAAAATGTATTGCGGGCATTAAAATATATTTTTACACTTTCATAGATCAGACCAGAAATCGAATATTAATGTCATATGTGAGATGGAATTGCTCTATCATCACTTACCATCCTTGACAGAGTTCAAGAATATCTACATGGCCTTGTAGGTGATGAATTGTTTTTCCACAGACGAAATTTTGCAAGTCTCTTGATAATCTCTGAACATTTCAATTGTAGCGAACAATAATCGTATTCCATTGACGAGATGTAATTTTCACACGAGCATCTTCTTTGGTAACCGACTACCAAGAGAATCTCATGCCGAGTAACAATAGCTCATATAGGCAAAATATCTGCGCAATGTAAACATTATATTTTTTAAGAAAATAATCAGTATAATTTTAACTTATTGTTAGGGGTGTCTTCCATCCAATGAGGCTATTGTGGACTCTTCCACTTACTATAAAGTTAGTAGGAAACGTAAGCTTCGGGGGAACGGTGATTTAGACTGAACACTGGTCAACCGACACACACTCCCAAGTCGTGTAATACACTTCTGTTGTATTTACTGTTCAATACGCGATTTATCTGAAATCTCTTGTTCTGTTATTTCTTAACCAATTACTTGGTCGCAACATTTATTTAAATGTAAAGTTGACCATTAGTTTTCCTTATAAACTGTGCCTCTTATTCGGTAAACTTCCAGCTCGCTTGGCTGTTGTGCATTGTACATTATTGTAAAAAAAATATTTTATAAGCATTTTTATAGCAAAAGAAAAAGACACATATTTGCCTATATGAGCTATTGTTACTCGGCATGAGAACAAATAGTTTTCTTTCGAAAGGTTTATGTAAAGACGACAAAGAAACTTCGATTCCATCTCCAGGTGATGAATTTCTCTCCTTATCAGTCGTTGGAGTATTTGCTTAGTTATGAGATAAATATTTGCCCAGCATCACTGATTCCGCTTAGTAGACAATGGCCTCTTCACACGACTCAGTCGGACACGATTTGACGAGACATATTTAACCTTTCAGCGCAATATCCTAGACAGACACACTGGAAAAATATGCTAAGGCGCACAAGTGTTAGATAATAATAATAATAATAATAATAATAATAATAATAATAATAATTCACAGTACCATACGTCGGAGATTGGGAAGATCGTCCCTCTGCCTGTTGGGAGCTCGATCCTAACTAGGTACCTTGCTGTTGTTTCTCTGTCAGAAAAAGCTAAGATAGGATTATTCCTTAAGAGGAATGTTAAAGAAACTCGATATGCAGATAATTCGATAGAGTAGTGAGCTCGAGATAAACTGGGGTGAGTCATGTGACTATTTCACTGCAGTGTTTAGTGTGTTAATCAGTTACAACATCAGTATTTACTTCATTACACCATCCATAATTCAGCTTCAGGTTAACTTACTAAAAAACAAATATATACAGGAGCTAGCATAAAGATCAGAACGATGTTAAGAAAAAGTCTAAATGTGAAATAACTGTTTATTTTAAAGCTTCAAATAACATTTTATCAAGGAAAAATAAGGATATAAAGGTACATTATATAATTCCAAAATATAAAGATCAATAATCTTATTTTGATAAAGTTATAAGAATAAAAATATGGATGATCAAAAACATCAGAACGATTAACAAAATCATACTATTATAGTGGATACATCATATCCAAATGAAAATAGCGTTCATAATTCATTACTACTTGATGTGAAGATTTTTACTTGCAATAACAGCTTATCATCTTTTGCTACATGAGCGAATTAATGTCTTGCATTCATTAATGGACATTTTCTCCCATTCTCCTTTCAAATTAGTCCATAGTTCTTTGACGTTTGCTGGATTCTTTTCCTTAGCTATTTCATTTATTAACTTCCAAACATTCTCAGTAGGAATCATGCCTGGTCTTTGAGCAGGCCACTCCATAACAGTAACATCCTCCTCAGAAAGAAATGTCTTAACAGACTTCGCTGTATGACACGGCGCGTTATCTTGCATAAATACAGCTGGTTGATTAATTGCAGTTCTCAAATTAGGTACAGTATGTTTTTTCAATATCTCTTTGTATACAGTTGCGTTAATTTTACCGTGTAGCCTAACAAGAGGTCCAGTACCAGCAAATGTAATCATGCCAAATACCATCACACTTCCTCCTCCAAATTTAGCGCTGTTTAAATGCACTGAGGCAAATATCGTTTCTTAGGACTGCGTCGAACGAACCTTCTCTCGTCACAACTGAACAGGGTAAACTTTGACTCATCGCTGTTCTTCAGTCTATATGGCGTGTTCAGTGGAAAATTTCAGTCGGCTCATTTGTTTCTTTTTAGAAACGTAAGGTTTCATAGAGGCTACTCAACAGTTCAAATTTATTTCATTAAGTCTTCGGGAAATAGTGTGACTTGATATTTTAATGCCAAGCTTAGCATTAGCTCTTTTAGAGATAGCGGTTGCTGTCACAAATCGATCCTTTTTTGATTCATTAACAATCCACCTGCCTTCTCTTGCAGCAGTTTTCCAAGGCCTGCCAGGTGGATACTTGGCTTCACATGACCCAGTTTCTTAAAATACTATGAATAAGATTTAGATTTCCCCACAATCTTTGAAATATCCCCAATCGAGGGTTTACATTTTTTTCTACATGTTATTACATTTACATATATTTATTACAACTGCATTTCTTTAATACTGTTTAATATCTGTAAGTGCTGAAAATATCCTCCTTCAACCTTACAACATTACTCGAACCTCTCCAGAACACTGTGACACGCAGTAACACAAATTCTGATCTGCATCAGTTGTGTTGGTTGGGACAATGTCAAATGTTTCCCTTCATGCTTTGCGTATCTGTTCGCCATTTTCAATCTTCCAATACTGCTTTAGAATGCACTTTCTTTGTTCTCGAATCAAATTATTTGCCATTATTCACAATAGCTGTAAAAAAAAATCACGTCGGTATAAATATAAATAAAATAAATAACCTAAAATAAATAAATAAAATAAAACAACTGTCTATATTCAAGAAGATATATAGCAAGGATGTATCTTTCTCCCTCCTACTTCTCTAGTCTTGAAGACTCTCAAGAACACTAGGCCTCTGTTGCGTCCATATAAATAAGGTTTTATGGGATGAAGTTGTTAGTTCAATGGCCACCCGGTTTTGTACTCAGTTTTCTCTTACTCTACCCACTGATCCCATGTGGTTAGCTTAATTTATGATCTACACCATAACTCCGGGGTGTCCCACAAAAAACAAAAGCAAAAACAAAATAAAAAACAAAACAACCCCCCAAAAAAAAAAAAACAGGAAATTTGCTAAAATTTATTTAATTGTTGGAATTTTTCTTAGTTATTTGAAACAAACGATTAGCAATTATATAGCTTAAATCTGAACAAAAACACATGTGTTAGATATGGTGTTCAAACGAAAAAAAAAATTTTTTTTATGTGTTTGTTATTTTTTTAATACATAGTAAATCTAAAATTACCCTGTCGTCATAAGCATTTGATATTCATTGACTGATTAGCCATTACGGACTTCTGTTGAAATTTATAAACTATTTCTCTTAAAATAATTCTTTAGGAAAACAGGTTTTTCATTTCTAATAACGTTTCTCGCTTTTTCTAATATTGATGAGGGTTTCCTTCCGAACCTTTTATTTTGAGTGGTGTGGAATGCTAACATCTTGACTATGTCATTATTTTCACTTCGTGTTACATGGGCTTAGATGCAGCTGCTGCCGTTGGTTGTCCTCAAGAAGTTGAGAGAAACTACCTCTGGTGAAGCCTATTCTATATTAAATTTCCTTTTCTCTTGTATTTAGTTTGTTAAATTTTGTCATCCAATTAACAGTATCTATCTATCTATCTATCTATCTATCTATCTATCTATCTATCTATCTATCTATCTAAGTCTATTCATATCTATCTATCTATCTATCTATCTATCTATCTATCTATCTATCTATCTATCTATCTATCTCAGTCTATTCATATCTCCCTCAGTCTATTCATATCTATCTATCTATCTATCTATCTATCTATCTATCTATCTATCTATCTATCTATCTATTTCAGTCTATTCATATCTCTCTCAGTCTATTCATATCTATCTATCTATCTATCTATCTATCTATCTATCTATCTATCTATCTATCTATCTGTCTATCTATCTATGTCTATTTTTATTATTCTTTTTCTATCTATCCCAGCTTGCTCATACATATCGCAGAGTGTTAATTATCTCCCTATCTTGCTAGCTATCTTAATAAAAATATACGTACATATAAAGACACATATAACTAAGTACCTTCAACAAAACGCGATACCCAAGGTTTAAAATGCAGTTTAAAAATGAAAACTCTTTCTTGAAGATTTTAGTTTAGTTTTAAATAGATTAAATAGTTCTAATAGGCGAATACTTTGCTTCATTTCAAAACTAATTTCAAATGAATGGAAGATAATTTTTGAAATCGCTAAAGAATTCTTATTTTTAGCAATTTTTAGCCATCTGCCAGCACAATGTAATTATGTAATATACATGTTTGTGTGGACATAATTAATAATGGCAGGGATATATGTGTTTTATGCTGTAGTTTTGGTGAAGTTATGTTTTGGAATACAGTTTGATTTCTTTAAGAAATTGTAGGATATTATATGGATTAATGCCATGAAAGAATTCTTTCAAGTTGAGTGGTTGATTGATTTTGTTTAGCGGTATATCAACTTCTATGGATTATTTAATGCCGAAATCTAAGTATTTTGAACCCAATTTTATGGTTTCAACTAAATATATACTATAAGTAGTTATTGTTGGTTGATCTTGTTTATAAATGCATATCAACCTCTATGGGTTATTTAATGCCGAAATCTAAGTATTTTCATGTAATTTTATGCATTTAACTGTGGATATTTTGAACGAAATTGTATGCCTTCAAATACAGATAAAATGTATTATTTGTCATTTCATAACGAATATGTATTGTTGGTACTTTTTTAATATAAGAATATATTGCTTGCATTTTTACTATAAAAAATGTATTTACATTATTTACATTTTTCGGACTATTGTCCTCATCTTTGTCACCATATTTATCACAACATTTCGGCCGTTGTACGCTCCGGCCTTCTTCAGGTGGTTGGAATATCGAACTGAACCCTTTATTTCGTTCACTGTTCTAGTTCCACGTGCCATGTTTGATGGATGCCAGTTATCAGTTATGTCCTGTTAATTTTCCCTCTGAAAGTTCTCCACTACCTTAACCGGGTATTGAACTCACATTCTTTGGGTCCTCAAGGACACATGGCACAGTGGATAAAGGCGTTGGTTAGATCCAGTGACAGGACTCAAAGAGTCTAATGTCTTTAATTTAATGAGGATGAAATGGAACTAATGTCTTTAATTTAATTACAAAATTAAATTCGGAGCTTTCAGCTTCCATTTTTGAAACATGGTTAGAACTGTGTGTCCATAGGTGCGTAAAATTTACAGAAAAGTTACCAATAAGAGTATACTCATAAACTATCATTCTCTCTACCGTAAAAATTCGACAGAAATACAAGATCATAAGTGCACTAAAAAGCTGCGTCCTTAATATCTATATGAAGAAGACATATATTTGCAAAATTATTTTAAATACTTATTATTTCAGTGTTAGAAGAAAAGCCTAAAAATCGAAAATATCAAAAAAATATATTTTAATAACAGCAGTCGTAGTAATAATAAAAATAGTAATAATACCGGGTGCGGCAGAAATATCTCCCAGATTTTAAAGTGTCATATCTATGGTGCTAGTAAACTTAGGCAACTAGCAATACTATCTTCAGCTAGCTTACCATTTTTGTCGGATACCATCAGCTTCGACCAGTGCATCTTCTGTTGAAATGTTCTTTAAGACTGGTAAATCTGTAATTACAACACAGAGAGCTTTTCGTGTTTATTTCTTGTTACAAAGGAATAATGCTATTCCGGAGAGAAAATCGATAGTGTTATAGGTTGAAAATGTCAGGGCCACAGGTTCGTCGCTTAAACCACCTGGAACTTCCGTGTGATGGAAAACTTTTGAAATTCATTACAAAAGAGCATGACAAACAAAAGCCGCCACTTGGAGGATGTAATTTTAAAATCCAAATGAATACAAACTATAGCCCTTTATTTAAACAACAGTGAACTATATTTTTAAATAGCTGTTATCTGGTCTTTTTGTCAACCTTTAAACACGGGAGGTATTTCTGTCATACCCTTTATATATTTAATAAAAATAATCATAATATTTTCAAAGCGGCTTCATAACGTCTACTCTTCAAAATAATACATCCATTCCTAACATTAAATTAATTACAACCACATCCAAAACTATTCTGAAAAATGTAGAAAAAATTAATGTAATAATACTACTAATAATAATACTAATAATAATAATACTAATAATAATACTAATAGTAATAACTAATTTTAACCTGTGAAAATTTCACGGTTTTCCTATCTGATGAATCTTAATTCTTCAGGTAATGATTAAAATCGAATAGTGCATTATGAGGTATTGATAGAGCGTAACGGTCGTGTGAACTAACGAAGGGAGGAACAAGCACAATAATAATAATAATATTAATAATAATAATAATAATAATAATAGTAATAATAATAATAATGCAGGCATATATAAATATCCGAAGAAATTCCCCTCTCGCATTGTTAAATATTTAAGCTTAATAACTTCAACAAAATATTGCAATAACTATCATAAAAAAATGGGTAGATATATAAAAGATTAAAATTGATAACTTTTTCCATTTCACTGAAATAGCCATAAAACCATTTTATCTTCTCTTCTCTTCTTTCTTTCTTTCTTTCTTTCTTTCTTTCTTTCTTTTCTTTCTTTCTTTCTTTCTTTCTTTTTTTATTTATTTATCCTTTCTTTTTTTCTTTTTCTTACTTAATACAAAGTTGTGCATTTCTCTTCTTTCCACGTGATAAAAACGGGCTAGTCCATTATTTATGAGGTACTTGAAGTAGGCATTAAACAATCCTAACTTTCCTTCTTTCTTTCTTTGACTGATTCATTCTTTCTTTCGCCCTTTCTTTCATTTTCTCATTGTAACCAAACAGTGCATTTTCCCTCTTTCCATGCAATGAAAAGAAAGTAGTGCATTATTTATGATGTATTGGCAGGGTGAAAACTTCTTTGTTTGTTTGTTTGTTTGTTTGTTTGTTTGTTTCTTTCTTTCTTTCTTTCTTTCTTTCTTTGTCTCACGGAAACGAAGTAGTGATTTTATACTCTTTCCACTCGATTAAAACCGAATAGTGTATTATGAGGTATTGATAGAGCGTAACGGTCGTGTGAACTAACGAAGGGAGGATATAATAATAATAATAATAATAATAATAATAATAATAATAATAACGCCGGCAAATATAAGATAAACATAAAGAGTTGTTCCTGAAACTATATTGGTGAAACATCCCTAAAAATTTAAAAAAAAAACAAAGCAAAAAAACAACGGATCCTGCATAACTTTTCGCTACTTTTCTTATCGTAAACAGATTTTTGAATGTTCTTTGACCAAAACATGAACGTATAATATTATTCTTTAACACAGTATTCTTTCTCAATAAATTTCGACATTTCCCTTTGATAAAGTTCCCCCAGGTACAAAACCTTTCGTCGGCATGTCTATACACTTTACATTTTTCTTTATATATATATATATATATATATATATATATATATATATATATATATATATATATATGGACTTAAATGTACGCGCGTCGAATATAAAACACACGCACATATATATATAGTGTAAGAAAAACAGTGCTCAATATTAATTAAAAAGGTTATTTAATATATATATATATATATATATATATATATATATATATATATATATATATATATATATATATATATATATATATATATAATAATAGCTCACATTAATTGGACAACTCTGAGTTTCAACGCAACTTTCAAATGCTAATATTTGGGTGAGGTGGGTAACACCAGTTTTAAATATTTGTTTAGAATGGAACACTTGTGTGCTGTGCTATATACTGGTTAATGTTTTTAGCCCAAATGTAGCTAACTTTGACGTTATTTTTATTGAAAATATTACGCAGCGTTGTTGAATGACTGAAGTACTTATGGAATAAAATTAAAAAAAAATTGATATTAGTTTTGACATTTTTGCTGAAGGGCGGGTTAAACCATATAATATTGCGTTTACGACGTTTAGGTTTGTTGACGTCATGATTACTCTTGGGTAAAAATTGGAGGTTAATTTTATGTTTACTATATTCTATTGCTTCTACGTATTTGCCTTCATGTCTGTCAAAAATATCCTTCTTGCTAAAGTTAGTGGACAGCCTAAATTGCACTGACTTATCTTAATTGTTCAGTAGACTAGGATGGTGGTTGGATTGTTTGCTGATGTATCTATCGTTGTATAAATCTTTATGACGCCCATTAGATATATCAAATGTTACATCCAGGAAATTGATTATTTTAGCATTGGTGGTGTTTGTCTTTAAAGAACTTAATTAGGTTTTTCTGAGGCGGTCAGCTTTTCGTGCGCCTGATTTGCGTATGACTATAAACCCGTTGGTTTTTTTTTAATATCGAAAATAAACTTAAAACGCCAAAGTAATAATATACCAACAAGCTCGCAAGTTTATTATTCTTATTTCAAACATTATTTCCAATCTTAAAAGTTAATCTCGGCGTAAATTCAAATCCGAAATTAAACTATAATTCAGTTATATAATCTAACAACAATAATAACCCATCCCAACAATAAAATATCTCGCGATAACCAGAAATGTTACCCCGCACCAAATATCAGCGCTTGAAAATTGCGTTGGCATGAAACTTAGAATTAATGTAAGGTATTATATATATATATATATATATATATATATATATATATATATATATATATATATATATAATGGCATAAACACGGCGACTACCGAATAACCATTACAGTCGCTTGCTCATACCATAGTATCCACCCGTGGAATATACTGCAACTAAGGTGAGCAGAGCTTAGTTGCAATTTCTTAAATAGACCGCATAATATTAAAAAGAAATTACAAAAAATAATTAAGCAATATGTAAAAAAGAGGTAGTAACAAAAATTATGCATTACGCAATATAATCACGGCTGAAAAACAGCTAATCCATTTTAATTGTCCCCTCCCATAGGAACAAAAAAATATCAATAGTGACTA